GATTTTCTATCTTTTATATGGTACATTACGTGTGACATGGTTACAGTTTTTCCCAATGCCTATTACCTATATTAAATGGTGATTTTCTATCTTTTCTATGGTACATTACGTGTTACATGGTTACAGTTTTCCCCAATGACTATTACCTATATTAAATGGTGATTTTCTATCTTTTATATGGTACATTACGTGTGACATGGTTACAGTTTTTCCCCAATGCCTATTACCTATATTAAATGGTGATTTTCTATCTTTTATATGTACATTACCTGTTACATGGTTACAGTTTTTCCCAATGCCTATTACCTATATTAAATGGTGCTTTTCTACTCTAAACCCATCTGGGAGTGCCAACATCACCAAGAACATGGAGGTGAGGAAGGAGAAAGAGGGAGGACAGGGCAGGCCCAGATCCCAAATCCATCTTAAACCCTCTGACCCCCATGTACAAAACCAAAACCCCCCTGTAGAGCACTCAAAAGTTCTTCCTTTAATTTGTGACTACTTCTACTCTAATATCTAAACGTTTTGTCACTTCTTGTTCTTCCTGCAAGGTTGGTAAATGATTCCATGGCTCAAACCCAAAATCACAGCTGTTTCCAGCTGTGCCAGGGTCTCAAATGCTTCTGACCGGGGCTTGGAACCTCCAAAAATGTCTGAGGGACATTTTGAGTTCTCACACCCAGCCCTGCTCCGTCATTCCAGCAGCTGCAGAGGCAGGGAGATCCAGGCACGAGGGCTGGCAGCTGCTGCATCCTCAGGAGGGTCAGGGCAAGGTGCAGCTCCTGCCCGTGTCCTGCAGGCTCTCAGCATCCCTGTGGTGCCAGGGTGGCACTGAGGGCAGGGGACATTGGAAGTTTTGTGCCTCTTTGTTCCTCATTTGGGGTAATCTACAAACACTTGGTTTGGGAGCTCGGTTGCTCCAGCAGCCTCAGTTCTGCCCCGCTGCAAAGTGAAATTTTCCTGTAGAATTTCCATTTTGCAGTCCACAAATTATTGCCATGAGACCTTTGAAATAAGATTTTTTTGTTTTCATGACAGATTTCAGCTTCAGGGATGGAGGTTCTGCCAACTGGTTCTTGTTCTATCACCCTAAGATGTCTTTTATTTTCAAATGAATCAAATGATCAAATCATTGGAGAAAGCTTAGGGCAGACATGTGCCAGTTAAGAGCAAGATACACAGAACGGAAACTAAGCAATGACATAAAGACAAGTGCTGACTAAAAACCTATTCAGGACAAACCTTTATTTCATTTATAAACCATCAAAATAGCAACTAAACTGGAAGCCATGTGGATTGTGGGTTGGTTTGAGAGTGAAGTGCATGGTTCACCTCACTTTTGATTATTTCCTGCCTGGTTTAAGTTTTTCTGTGATTCAGAGTTTGAACATTATTTTCTCAGCCATGGTAACTCCACAGACAGCTGAGTAATCCTGAAGTATATCCAGGAAAAGTGACAATTCTCAGCCTGGACATCAGTTTGCTCTTTAAAAGTTGTTATTTTCCACAGAAGAGTGACTGAAATCAAAGCTGAGACAAGCACTGAGACTTATCCTTCTCTCATTTGCAGTGAGGATTCAGAAGACAAAGATGTGAAGACTAAGAAAGATGATTCACACTCAGCAGGTGACTGATAGCATTGTACTGATTGTGTACCTTTAAATCATGTCTCCTCACACCTGTGAGAGTTGCAGGAGTAGGATTTGAGACAGAAATTAAATAATTCTGATTTATTTTAAGTCATATGTTGCCTCTGCTGCTGTTACTTCCCACACTGGTTTGGGATGATGGGCTTTTTTTGTGTAATGTGACAGTCCTATAAAATTTGTCTTCAGAAGTGGATAGATGTGTTGATCCCTTCCCTGCAGCTTTTATCCAGAATGATCCAAGAAACTTCATCTTGCTGCCTTTTCCTTGCAGATGAAGATTTTGGCAGTGAAGACGATGACGTAGGAGCTGACGATGGCAAAGCCGACAGCGACTACGAGAGCTCTCAAAAAAGCAAAAAAGGAAAGAAGGCTAAACCAGACAAGAATAAGAGAGCAGCCTCCAAATCCAGGAAAAGGCCTGCAGGTAAAAAATAAATAAATAAATAAATAAGTGGTTATTTTGCAGTAAAAATACTGCAGAGGATCTTTGGATGAGTCAGGAAGGTGTTGATGAGGTTGAATTGTCCTCACAGGAACTCAGTGAATGTTTTAACCCCCTGATACATGTTTTAACCCCTGTTTTGCCCATCTGCTGCCTCTCTGCTCTGTACTCAGCCCAATTTGGGGCCTTTTTCTGCAGAGGACAGCGAGGATGAGAAGGAAGATCACAAAAATGTTCGTCAGCAGCGGCAGGCGGCGTCCAAAGCAGCCTCCAAACAGAGGGAGATGCTCATGGATGATGTGGGGAGTGAGGAGGAAGAGCAAGAGGATGATGAGGCACAGTTCCAGGAGAGTGAGTAGATGGGATTGGAACAAGGGACACAGTTTGATTTTTGGCTGGGACGCTGAGGACAGAAATTGTGCTCCTCATTAACTTCATTTTTACTGTCCAAGTTGGGTTTTCACAGCTGGAATTTGTGCTCCGAGTTTGTGGTAAAGGTGTGTGTGTGTCCTACAAAATTTGTCTTTACTAGTAGGTAGATCTGTTGATCCCTTCCCTGCAGTTTTTATCCAGAATGAGATTTAAGTCATCAGTTATAAAAATGTGGCTGTGACAACTTTCTGTAACTTGGAAATTGGAATCTGTCATGAATTTGCATCACTTACTGTTCCTGCATGCTTGGTTGGTCATGTACAGTGGGAGGTAAGCCAGTGCTTCAAAACTCCTCTGGAATTTTCAGAGTCAAAAGTTTTTAAGGTTCAATGACAAGATTTTAGGAAAGCATTAAATAATTGAAGAGTTCCCTCAGTGACTCTGGAAGAATCTGTGCAATCTGTGAGACAAGAAACTTCATCTTGGTGCCTTTTCCTTGCAGATGATGATTTATTTTTTCCCAGGGATGCGAGTGTGTGTTTTCCAGGGATGTGTGTGTTTTCCAGGGATCTGTTTATTTGTAAGCAGCCTAAAGGATAATTATAAATTTCTCAATGCTTTTTGCCGTCCCTTTGCTTTGCTGACATAAAAACCCAGTCAGATTTTGTACCACAGCAGATAAATGGAAGCCCACAAGGTCTCAGAGTCTATGTCCACAATTCCACAATTTAACTGGCAGATCTTAAGTGTATCTTTTACTTCTTTTTTTTTTTTCCCAAAAAACCTGAAATTTCCTTATGTTTCCAGCAGATTCAGGAAGTGATGAAGACTTCCTCATGGAAGATGATGATGACAGTGACTATGGCAGTTCAAAAAAGAAAAATAAGAAGGTCTCCAAGAAATCCAAGCCAGAGAGGAAAGAAAAGAAAATGCCCAAGCCCAGGCTAAAGGCTACAGGTGAGTCTGTGCAATGCAAGTTTCTCAGTTTAAAACTCAGATTTTCTTTTTGCTGCAGAAACTTAGTTGAATTCTTGGGATCACAGACATCCATAAAAATGTTGGAAGGGCCAAAATGCCATGATTTAAAGCAGCAGGATGAAATAATGAGCTGGCTTTAATTCTTCCTTTAGGGGTTGGTTTGGTATCTGTGTCTTGAGGGTCAAAATTCATGGTATTGAAAACCTTCCCTGCTGAGGTGCTGCATTCTGACTTTGTGTGTCTCACAGCCAAGTAATAACAATTTGTGGCTTTGTTTGGGACTTTTTGATGGTGTCAGGGTGGGGAAATGAGAAGCAGAGGAAAACTGGATGCATTTCTGCAGGAAATTTCAAATTACAGCAGCAATGTGTGTTCTGCTTTGACAAGAGCTGTGTCCATTTGTGATGTCACATCCAGCAATTAAACAGCTTTTAAATCTTCTTAGATTGCTCTTCACTTCAGCTTTGCTAATTGGGAGTGCTGAAATCATTGTGGGTGTGGTCAAACTGCTGCTGAATGACTTTGAAATCCCATTTACTGTTGAGTTTTTCTGCCTTTGCTGCTGCTGAGTTTTACAAGGTTTTTCTTTTTCCAGTGACCCCCAGCCCAGTGAAAGGCAAAGGGAAGGCAGGTCGCCCCACAGCTTCCAAGGCAACAAAAGAAAAGACCCCATCCCCCAAAGAAGAGGATGAAGAGCCTGAAAGTCCCCCAGAAAAGAAAAAATCAGCCAGCCCTCCACCAGAAAAGTCAGGGGATGAGGGATCTGAAGATGAAGCACCCTCTGGTGAAGATTAAAATGGCAGTTGAGGAAAATCTTTGTTTAAAAAAAAAAAGAGGAAAAAAAAAAGAAAAAGGAAAAGAAAACAATACTTAGGGGTAGAACACGGTTTTGGCTGTGGCTTGACTCATGGGCTTTGAATGCTGTCTTTACTTTCAGCTGTTTAATACAGTGTATTCTTTTTTAATAAGAGGAAACCCTTCTACAGTAATATTTTGAAGTCAATGTTCTCTGTTGGCCATTCCGTTCTCCCTCCCCTGCCAAATCTGAAAAGCCATTTAAGACAAATTAACAGACCATTCAATATTTTATTTTTTTTTTCAAGGGATACTGCAGTTGTGAAGCAATAAGGTTTGAGACTGATCTGTGGAAAGCATACTTACAAATCCTTAAGTAGAATAGATTTTTCCCAGTGCTGGTAAGAGCTGTTTAAAACTATTATTCTGTATTTGAAATATATGGAAAAAAAATAATGAGCCTCTGCTTTAAAAGACTTTGAGATGAGTTCACTCTCAGCAAAAATGTAGTTGATCTAATTCCAGTGGAGGAGGATGAAACACAGGGAGGAATCCTGTGTTTCTTGGATTCAGGCACGTTTTTCATGGAAAGCAATCAAGAAACTCGGAGATGCTCCAGTGTCTTTGATTTAGACAAGACCCTCCACTCAGGATGGGAGAGTTTTGTCTCTGCTGGATAGAAAACTGTTCTGCTGTAGGCAAATTGCAGCTCATTCCAGAGAAATTCAGATATTCAACCTACAGCCTTCCCATATCCACTCACCCTTCTTTTATTCCTGCTGTAGAGGGGCAGAACAGGGAAGAGAAATTGCAAAATCAGTTTTAAAACCGCTTTCCATTGGGTACCGTGGAAAATGTTTTTATTATAGAATTTTCCAAGGAAAAAAAAAAAAACAACAGATAATGTAAAATGAAATTCTTCAGCTTTTGGGGCGAGGGATGTCCTTTTGTGGGTGTGAGCAAAGGATTCCTGTAGTGCTCTGGTCACTTGAGATCCCATGAGTCAGGCTTGAGTGTTTCTCTTCCCTCCCTCCCTCCCTCCTGCTGCCCTCAGCAAAGCTCCAGGGGCCACTGCCCTGTGCCCACCCTGCTCCCTGTAGGATTTGTGGGATCAGCTCCTCACCCTTCCTGTGGGATCTGCTCCCCTCCTGCCTGTGGGATTTGTGGGGTCTGTTCCCCTGCTCCCTGTGGGATTTGTGGGATCTGTTCCCCTCCTGCCTGTGGGATCTGTGGGATCAGCTCCTCACCCTTCCTGTGGGGTCTGAGGGATCTGTTCCCCTCCTGCCTGTGGGATCTGCTCCTCTCCCCTGCCTTGGGGTTCTGCTCCCATCCTGCCTGTGGGATTTCTGTTCACCGCTCCTGTGGGATCTGTAGGATCAGCTCCCAGGTTCCTGTGGGGTCTGTGGGATCAGCTTCCAGGTCCCTGTGGATCTGAGGGCTCTGTGGGATCAGCTCCCAGGTCCCTGTGGATCTTTGGGCTCTGAGGGCTCTGTGGGATCAGCTCCCAGGTTCCCGTGGCATCTGTGGGATCAGCTCCGAGGTTCCTGTGGGGTCTGTGGGATCAGCTCCCATGTTTCTGTGGGGTCTGAGGGCTCTCTGGGATCTGTGGGATCAGCTCCCAGGTCCCTGTGGATCTGTGGTATCAGCTCCCAGCTTCCTGTGGGGTCTCTGGGCTCTGTGGGGTCTCTGGGATCAGCTTCTGGGTCCCTGAGGGCTCTCTGGGATCAGCTCCCAGGCTCCTGTGGCATCTCTGGGATCAGCTCCCAGGTCCCCGAGGGCTCTGTGGGATCTGTGGGATCAGCTCCTGGGGCTCTGTGGGATCATCCCCTGGGTTCCTGAGGGCTCTGTGGGATCTGTAGGATCAGCCCCCGGGTTCCTGTGGGATCTGTAGGATCAGCCCCCGGGTTCCTGTGGGATCTGTAGGATCANCTGTGGGATCTGTAGGATCAGCCCCCGGGTTCCTGTGGGATCTGTAGGATCAGCCCCCGGGTTCCTGTGGGATCTGTAGGATCACCTCCCGGGTCCCTGCGGGATCTGTGGGATCAGCCCCCAGGTTCCTGAGGGCTCTGTGGGATCAGCCCCTGGGTTCCTGAGGGCTCTGTAGGATCCGTAGGATCAGCCCCTGGGTTCCTGAGGGATCTGTAGGATCAGCCCCCGGGTCCCTGTGGGCTCTGTGGGATCAGCCCCTGGGTTCCTGAGGGCTCTGTGGGATCTGTGGGATCAGCCCCCAGGTTCCTGAGGGCTCTGTGGGATCTGTAGGATCAGCCCCTGGGTCCCTGCGGGATCTGTGGGATCAGCCCCTGGGTTCCTGAGGGCTCTGTGGGCTCTGTGGGATCAGCCCCCAGGTTCCTGAGGGCTCTGTGGGATCTGTAGGATCAGCCCCCGGGTCCCTGTGGGCTCTGTGGGATCAGCCCCTGGGTTCCTGAGGGCTCTGTAGGATCTGTGGGATCAGCCCCTGGGTTCCTGAGGGCTCTGTGGGATCAGCCCCCGGGTCCCTGCGGGATCTGTGGGATCAGCCCCCAGGTTCCTGAGGGCTCTGTGGGATCCGTAGGATCAGCCCCCAGGTCCCTGCGGGCTCTCCAGGGCCCTGGGCTGGCAGCAGCTGCCCTCAGCCTGTCCCTGGCACAGCAGGACACTCGAGGTGTGTGCTGCCATTTTAATGTGGTTTTATCCAAGCAGCCACGTCCTTCCCTTCACAGTTTTTATTTTCTGAACTTCATGAAACTCCACAAACCTCGGTTTTCACACCCTCAGACTGTTTTGTGCCACGTTTGTTGGTGGAAACATTAAAAACTGGACCTGCCATTTTTATTTTAATTTTTTTCCTTAAACCCTCTGTGCTTCTGTCTGTTGCTCACCTCTTTCAGCTGACAAGCTTTGCATCCTTCTTGTTTTTCGGGGTTATATTTTTTTGTCACAGAACTCCCCATTTTGTAACCAGCCTATTGAAGGTAACATAAGGCAGCTAATTAATGAGTTGGGATTTCTGGTGGCAGCAGATTTCAAATCCTGTCTGGGATTTTGGAGAGTTCCTACACTAAATATGATCAGGAAGGAGCCTGAATCCAATTCAGGTGGGGAATGGAATATTCCTCCAGTAGATGAGTGATTGTCCTGTGTGATTCCCTGGATTTTATTGAGGCTGGTAAATTCCTTTACCTTATAAAAATTGAAGTTCTCTAACGTTCTTGACTCTCATGGAACTACTGTTGCAGTTACAATAAAGATGATGTTGTTTCATTGTAAATCTATTTTTATTTTTTTACAATGGTTTGATATTTTTTTTTTTTAATTTTTTTTTTTCCAGAACAGCATCAGGCTGCAGGGAAATCTCAGTCTTGAAAAAGAAAATGTAATCCCCTCTCTTCTCCCACTGCTGGATTGCAGGGAGAGCAGAAATTCCCTCAACTTATTGGGTAATACTGGGAAAATAAACGGCCACATTTTAAAAATAAAAACCATTTGGGGGTAGCAAACACTTGTGCAATTCTCTGGTTCCCAGAGCTGTTCCCCTGCAGTCCAGATGGTTTCAATGGGTTCTTAAGGTTTTCCTTTAATTCAGGTGTACAAGGAGAATTCCAGGGGATCTGGTTCTTCACCTGCCACACCTGATGTTTTCTGAAGTGTATTTTTTGCATATCACCTCAAATATATTTTTGGTTGGTTCATTTTTTTATTTTTTAAGAAAAGTTCAGGCAGTAAAACATCATTTTTCTGTTATTGCAGGCAGTTGTTGGATTGTTTTATCCTGGCAGCTTTGGACCTTTATTCCACAGAACTCTTCTGCATTCTCACATGTTCATTTCTGGTGGGCTGGAGGCTGCCTGATGCTCCTTTCTGAGTGTCCCAAACACCATGAAAATCCCAGATTTTCAGGATTTTGTAAGTCTTTCTAACCCTGTTTTGCTGATTGGTACAAACACTGAGCCCTAATGGTCTCTGTTAGAAATACAGCAATTTCACATTTTTGCAGACAGGAGAAAATTGTCAAGGTGAATATTTCTATGATTTTGAATATTTTTATTTTCACATACATAATTTTTCAGCAGCAGCAGACTTCACCTTTTTAAATGCCCATTGGAATTAATTTGTATTAAAAGATTCTGGAAGGAAAGCTGGGAAAATGCCTTTCTTTAGGAACACCAAGAGATTTTTATGGAGCAGAAAGTTTCATTCACAGGAGGAGGCTTTAAAAAGATTCTCTGTCTCACAGTTGTAGTCCTGGAGCCTTTGCAGAGAGGTAAAATGTATTTATTCCAAAATTCAGTCAGGCTCCAGCTCTGCCCTGACCTTGCTTTTAAAATTTCAGAACTTCCTTAAATCCACACCAGCACCTCCAGCTCTAGTTCCTGCCAACATCCTGCCTTGAACTTTTTAAAATCAGTCAAAATCTGCAATTTCAGCTGGGATTTTGTGCTAAAAATGGTTTGGTTCAGTTCTGGGGGCGGGGGGTCAGCAGGAGAATGACAAGTGTGCTGAGTTAAGGGGGTCAGGAGTGGCTTAAAAATGGGGCAGCTGAAGAGTTTTTGATCAGTTTTAATTTCCTCAAGGCAGAGAGAGTGAGGGGAGAGAAGCATCACCACCAGGGCAGCGCAAAAATCTGAAATCCGTTTTTTGGGGGTTTTTTCCCTTTTTTATCCTTTTTTCCCCCTTTTTTTTGGAATATTCTCTCCACGGATAACCACAAAGGTACAAGAGCCACTGAGGCAGCCAGGTGAGAGAGGGAGGGAAGGAATTTGTACCATGCTGGATGCTTTTGGAGCTGTATGAAAAAAACAACAAAAAAAAAACATGGTGCTTTGCTTTTCTGTCCTCCTGTTTGTGAAGTGTTTATTTTTCTAACAGATCCTAGCGTTGAACACACGGTTCCTAAAAGCTACAGAGTGATCCAGGAGTTTTGGTGTTTGATGGAGAATTCATTCATCTGTTGGAGGGGGCAGGAGGTGGAGCAGTTTTGGAGGGACGGAGTGGTTGGTGGCATTTAGGATGTGTGATTTTTGGGGAGGCTGCTGTCACAGTTTTCTGTGGAAATGAGAAATTCTGTGTGTATCTGACCCCACAGAGCATTTCCCCTCAGCTTGGAGTGTTCCCCTGCAGTTTTAGGAGGCTTCAGTCCCAGTGCTGACGGAACAGAAGCGACACTTGAACACTTTGTTCTGCTCGTCCAGGAGGATTTTTGGGCTTTTTTGAGCCCATCAGAGCAGGGAGTGCCCTTCCCCAAGCCCAGCCTAGCTCTGAATCAAACCCCAAATTCCCACTTGGGTAGCTGAATGTCTTTTCCTGGAACTCTTGCTGTCAAACCATGAATATTTGTGGGGTGCAGCCCCTGCCCGGTGCTGCTCCCCCCGCCAGCCCCGACCGTGCCCAGCATGCTCAGTGTGACTGCAAAGCACCCGTGTGCAAACGCTCTGTACAGTGGGGCCAGGGTTTTTTATATATATATTTTGGGATGTGGTGGGTGGGGGGGAGGAGGGTGGGTGTGGAGATCCTGAGATCAGCTTAAGCCAGACTTAAATGTGTGTAAAAAAAAAAAAACAACCCAAAATCTTCGGTGTGTGAGTGCGCGAGTGGGAGTGTCTGACATCCCATTCCCTTTGTGTTCTCAGCATTTGTGAGGTTTTATTTCTTTTTTTCTTATTTCCCCTCCCCCCCCACTCCCCTTCCTGCAGAAGCAATTGTTACAAAAAAAAAATTAATTGTAAATAAGAGCTACGTAATTTTTTTTGTTGTTGTTTGCCATCGTGTCACAGCAAACCCTGAGTGAGCAGTGTGAAGGTGGAGGAGGAGACTGGCAGCATTTTCTGGTATGCAATGAATATTTTGTCTCGAGTATCTGCAATCCCGTGGTGAGCTTTTGGAAGAAAAAAAAAAACAAGGAAAAATAAAAATTCAGGCTCTTTGCAGTTCCCCTCCTTGTCCTTTTTAATTTTTATTATTTTTTGTTTCATTTCAAAAGCAGGAAGAAGGGGCAGCTGCAAACAGTCATCGCTGTGGGGTTAGGAGCTCTTGACAACCCTGAGATCTAGCATGGTACTAGGAGTTAAGTCTGAATGTAACATTAATGCTTTATTTAAAATTAAAAACAAAAACACTTTGGTTTTGTTTCTTTTTTTTTTTTTTTTTTTTAAGGGGTTGAAGTGAACATGACTGTTGACCATGTTCGTGAATTTCTAGATGCAAACATTCATTGGTAGAATTGTGTGATGGTCTTTTGTGCTAATTAATTTGACATATTCCGAGTCTCTGTATGTACCTGCAAAGAAAGAAAAACAAAAAAAAATAACAAAAACCCTGCTTTGCTTTGATTGAAAAAGGGTTCCTGGGACTGCATACCTGCTCCTGAGCTCTGTTTTAAGTATGTGTATCCTTCGCTTGTATTTTGTATTAAAAAAAAGAACCACGAGGAAAAAAAAAAATGAACCCTTTATTGTTCAGCATGTTGGAATTGTGTCCCCTCTTTTATTTTTCTCCTTTTTGGAATATATTAAGCAACTCATTCTTCTGTATCTTTTATTTTCTTTTGTAAACTTTTTGGTTTTGTTTAAAAATGGCTTTATAAAAGGGCTTTTATAACCCATGAACACGACTGGTGTCATTTTTCTGCTGCTCCAAGGGGATCATCCTGTGAGAGGTAAAAAATGTTCATCTTCCAGCATCTCTGAGAGTTTTGGGGTGAATTCCTTGGAATTCTCTGAGGAGGGGATGCCAGCTTTGGGCCAGGTATGACTTTCCCATCATTGCTTGAGAACAGACAGGGAAGAATGAAATAATCCAGAAAACTGTGCTTTACCCAGGCTCTTCCTGAAGTTCTAAATTGAGATTTTAACGTCCAAAACCAATTTGAGGGAGAGATGAGAGGAGGGACAAAACCCTTGGAATGTCACCTTCCCCTCCAGGAGCTTCCCCTGGTGTGTCCCAGCAGATGGGAAACTTTTTTCATGGAAAAATTGATCAGGAATTTGGGATCAATCATTTTTGCCTGTTGTCATGGCAAGCACGGGCAGGGCTTGGCGTGGCCCCCGGTGCTCTCTCCACCCCCGGGGTCACGCAGGGAATTTCTCCTTTCCCCAAATCCTTTGGGGCAGATTCCATCGCCTTTCCTGCAGCTCCGGGGCGGATTTGTCCCGATTTTGGCTCATTTTGATGCGCGGCCGTGCCCGCGATGTGCCAGCAGAGGGTGCTGGGAGGGCGAGGTGGAACCTCAGGAATGGGATGAAAAACTCTGGGATGTGTTGGAATTTCGGGTACAGGGAACATTTCTTCATTTGTTTTGAGGGGTTTGGAATTTTAGAGAAATATTGGTTTGAATTTTTCTTTATCAAGAGGGTTTTTGAGATTTTGGCATGGGTTAGCGTTTATGTATAGCGTTTATTATAGTATAATTTGTTATATATAGTTTGTTATAATAAAGAATAACATGGTTTGTTATATCTATTTGTGTGAAATAGATAATAAAGAATAGCATAGTTTGTTACCTGTGTGAAATAGATAATAAAGAATAGTGTAATTTGTTGTATATAGTTTGTTATAAGATAATAAAGAATAGCATAGTTTGTTACATCTGTTTGTGTGAAATAGATAATAAAGAATAGTATAGTTTGTCATAAGTTTGTTATAAGAGGTTCCACCTCACCCTCCCAGCAAGGGAGAAGATGGAACCTCAGGAATGGGATGAAAAACTCTGGAATGTGCTGGAATTTCGGGTACAGGGAAGATTTCTTCATTTGTTTTGAGGGGTTTTGATTTTTAGAGAAGTACTGGTTTTAACTTTTCTTTATCAAGAGGGTTTTTAAGATTTTGGGATGGATTCGAGTTTATTAGAGTGTGAAATAGATAATAAAGAATAGTGTAGTTATATATAGTTTGTTATAAGATAATAAAGAATAATATAGTTTGTTATATCTGTTTGTGTGACAGATAATTAAGAATAGTATAATTTGTTATATATAGTTATAATAAAGAATAATATAATTTCTTATATCTGTTAAAGAACAGTATAATTTGTTATTAGTTTGTTATAAGAGGGAGGAAGTGGAACCTCAGGAATGGGATGAAGACCTCTGGAATGTGCTGGAATTTCAGGTACAGGGAAGATTTCTTCGTTTGTTTTAAGGGGTTTTGATTTTTAGAGAAATGCTGTTTTTAGTTTTTCTTTATCAAGAGGGTTTTTGAGATTTTGGCATGGTTTAGCATTTATTAGAGTATGAAATAGACAAGAATAGTGTAATTTGTTATATATAGTTTGTTATAATAAAGAATAGTATACTTTGCTATATCTGTTTGTTTGAAATAGATAATAAAGAACAGTATAGTTTGTTCTATCTATTTGTGTGAAATAGATAAAAAGAGTAGTATAATTTGTTATAAGTTTGTTTTAAGAGGTTCCACCTCCTCCCTCGCTGGGAGGGCAAGATGGGACCTCTGGAATGGGATGAAAACCTCTGGAATTTCGGGTACAGGGAAGATTTCTTTGTTTGTTTGTCTGCCCCTGCCTCAAACTTGAGCTGCCCTGACAGTCCCAAGGGAGCCCTACAAACTGACATCAGGAACCTGGACTGCTGAGTTTTCTTTCCCAGGGAAAATGGCCAAAGGATGTGCCCGGGGGCCCCTGGCCCTGACTGCAAAAAATCCTTATATCGAAGGATGGAGCCCAGACCGAAGTTGTCCCCACCTCAAACTTGTGCTGCCCTGATAGACCCAAGGGAGCCCTACAAACTGACATCAGGAACCTGGACTGCTGAGTTTTCTTTCCCAGGGAAAATGGAAAAAGGATGTGCCCAGGGGCCCCTGGCCCTGACTGCAAAAAATCCTTATATCGAAGGATGGAGCCCACACCGAAGTTGTCCCCACCTCAAACTTGTGCTGCCCTGACAGTCCCAAGGGAGCCCTACAAACTGACATCAGGAACCTGGGCTGCTGAGTTTTCATTCCCAGGGAAAAGGGTTGGTGTTTGTGCCCATGGCCCTGTGGCCTTGAACAGGCAGCAGGCTGCAAAAAATCTGAACAATGAAGGATGTGTCCCAGACCCAAACTACGCCCACCTCAAACCTGTGCTGCCCTGACAGTCCCAAGTGAACCCTACAAACTGACATCAGGAACCTGGACTCCTGAGTTTTGTTTCATAGGAAAAAGGGCCGCTGTTTGTGCTCAGGAGCCTGTGGCCCTGACTCAGTGTTTTCCTCCAGAAATTCCGAACAGCGATGGATGTCTCCCAGACCCAGCTGCCCCCACCTCATTTTTGCACTGCCCAAGAGTTCCAGGCACCTCCTGCAAACGGACATCACAATCCTGGGCTGGCGAGGTTTTTATCATGAGGAAAAGGGCCAGTACAGAGCCGTGTCTTCCTCAAGAATATTTCATTTTCCCTCCAAAATTCTACATTCTGCTTTCTGTCCAAAAGTTGCCTCGCATTCACTGTTGGCTCACGAATCTTGAACAGGATCTGGGATTTTATTTGATTTATCTTTTCTTCTTCAGGTTTCTGTTTGGGGAAGATAACAGCTCCAGCAGCACATTTCCTTTGTCACCCTCTCTTTTCTCCTGCGGCGTTTCCAGCTCAGGTCTTGGCCGTGGGAGAAGATTTTTGGGTTTCATTATCAACAACTGCCTCCCCCGACCACAGGGCTCTGTTGGTTTACCTCATTACAACGCTGTTCAGATATTTTTGATTAATTGCAATAGTTTGAGCCTGAGAACTTCTGTTTTCCTCCTCTCAAGACCAAGCCAGTACTGAATTTTTTTTCCTTTTTAAAGTCTCTGCTTGGAATTCTGGTGGGGTTTTTTTAAGCTGAGTGGTTTTCTGAGTGTTTTATGAAGGTGAGATTATTGTGCTGTTTCTGCTTTGCTTCCTGAGAAATGAGTGAAGGAATAATTTTGTCTATAATCCAATTTACCACACTAAGCTGTCATTTCTTTTTCCCTAACTGGCCCTGTTTTATTTTTTTTTTCCTTAATTTCACTTCACTGCTGATTAGGACACTGGATTTGAAGAAGCTTCTGTTCCCAGAAACAGTTCAGGCCATTAATTTTAAATTAATAACACATTTCTCAGAGGCAGAGCAGGTCTCACATTTGGAAGTGTCTCAGTTCTTTCATTCCCATTAAACTGGTTTTACACCTTTAAATAAAACCACTTAAGTGACTTTGAAACATTTTTCCCATTTCCTTCTTTTGGACAGCAAGGTGCCAGAAGGAAAAGAAAAATCTTCTTGGGTGCAAATCCTTGTTCTCACTCCTGAATATCCTTTTCCCCACACCACCAAGGGCTTTTAAGTGTAAAAAAGACCAAGTTTAACAACTTCTTACCTTTATATTGCATTTTCCCAAGTGAGTTAAATGCAAACAAGAATGTTCTTAATTATGTTCTTAAGCAGTGGGGCTAGGTTAAGACTTTTCATACACCTGAGACATAAGGGAAAAGCCTGGGTTTCGTTGGTTTTGTTGTTTTTGTTTTTAATATAATCTGTAATAGACAAATTGGAGTTGTTTGGGACTTTTTTTCTTTTTTTTTGTTTTGTTTGGTTTTTTTGTTGGTGGTGGATTTTTTAAGAGATAAGCAGTTGTTTCAGGGAGAGCAGGAATACAGAGATTCAAGAACTTTTCAAGAAATACACTTGAAAGGCAGTGAGGGAGATTCTGTCTGGAGACTGAGAAATGAGACTCTTCTTTCATGGGCAAAGGCAGATTATTAAATGTTGGCTCACATCTCAGGAGAGCCTGCTGGAAATCAGTTTATTTCCAAAAATGCCTCCTCAGCCTGCTCTGAATTCAGGGATTCTGCCTGGCCCTGCTTGGGTCTCTGTGCTGGGAGAGGGTGAGGGCACAACCTGTGAAATCCTGGGAGAGGAGCCCCAAAATCCTGGAATTATTTGGGGTCAGGGACCTTAAAGCTCATCCACTGGCAGGGACATCTCCCACAGCCCCAGGCTGCTCCAGCCTGGCCTGGGGCACTGCCAGGGATGGGACAACCACGGATTCTGTGGGAATTTGCAGGCTGGAAATGAATCAGTTATTCCAACTGCTGGGTTTGACTCAACTGCTGGATTTTATTCCAGTTGATGGATTTTACCCAACTGATGGGTTTTGCCCAGCTGATGGATTTTATTCTAACTGATGGATTTTACCCAACTGATGGATTTTATTCTAACTGATGGATTTTATTCCAGTTGATGGATTTTATTCTAACTGATGGATTTTACCCAACTGATGGGTTTTTCCAACTGATGGGTTTTTCCAACTGATGGGTTTTACCCAACTTCTGGGTTTTATTCTGATGGGTTTTACCCAACTGATGGATTTTTCCAACTGATGGGTTTTACCCAACTGATGGGTTTTATTCCAGCTGATGGATTTTACCCAACTAATGTTTTTTATCCAGCTGATGGGTTTTATCCCAGCTGCTCCCAAGCCTCTGGAAAGGAGCAGGGCTGGGGTGTCCTTATTCTGCAATCGCTTCCTGCCTGCAGAATAAACAGGCTGGGAAATATTTGCACTGTGGCCCATAAACAGGGCTGTGTTGTTTACCTGCAGCAAACATCGGCCTGTCGGCCCCAGAACAAAACAGCCAAGAAAAGGCTCCATT